CCGAGTGTCAGACCTCTGGTGTCTCCTGGACAGCTTGGGTCTCCTTGTTGAGGCTGAGAGTGGTGGTGATTGTTTTGTCTCTGCTTCCTGTCCCTTCTCTGTGAGCCGATCGGATTTGTTCACTGCCCTTTGTGTCTTTGGGTGTCTTAAGGCTCCTGCCCTATTCTCTACTCTTCCCCAAATCATCTCAAGTCTCTGGGTTGAGTCTTTGTTGAAGCAGATTGTGCCTTGTTTCAAGATTTTCCTCGTTTCTTATGCCCTGCCTTCCTCAATCCCATCCATTCTTCGCTGCAGTGACTGGTGGTGTCTGTGGCCACAAACCGTAAGAAGCTGAAGAGTTTTTGCTCCAAGTTAGCAAGAGAAGTTGCTAGCATTGGCAGGGAGCAAGTAGTGGTACCTCATCTGCCCTTGACCAGAGGGTTTTGAGGTCAATTCACTTCTCTGTAGTCTTTCCTAAATGCATAGCAAGCATCTTCTGTGAAGGCTGAGCTTGCGTCCCTCTCTTGAACGGCTCGTGCAGTGTGGATGCAGGGTGGGTGGATTTGGGGCATCATTCTTAGCTCCCTGTGCTCTCTGTTTCTTGCTGCAGGTCCCCCAGAAGAAGATGGTGTGAGAGCAGCCAGCCCACCTGCCCCTTCCAGTCGCGGCGTGCCCAGAGCTCAGGGAGGAGCATGGCAGCAGCGCAGGGAGCGGGGAGCAGCTCGGCCGGGCCGTCCGGACTCCCCGGTTCTGCCCCGGGGCATGGCAGCAGCTCCACAGCAGTGGCGGTGTGGGAATGGCAGGATGAGTTTGGCAGATGGAGGCCGTACCGAGGGAACGTCTGCAGCTACATCGAGCAGGTTTTTCAGGCGTCTCAGCAGAAGGGCCGCCGTTCGGGGTCAGGACTTGTCAGCAGCATCCCTTTGGGACAGGCGGATCCTGCCTTGGCCCCCTACGTCATCGACATCCCGAGCTTGACACAGTTCCGGCAGGACACAGGTAAGGGAGCTTTGGGCAGGTCGCTTGTGTGCGTGGAGATAAGGAGGACCTTGTTCTGCACGGGAGAGCCCTGCCGAGCTCTGCCGCCACTGCCGGGCAGTTCTCTGCTAGGCCGTGTGTCTGCATCTCTCCCGATGCTGTTTGCCACCTGGTGTATCAGCATTGAGAAGATCCATGCTGGCTGGCGTGGTCTCCCAAGGACCTTCATCACGGGACCTCTGGACCCCAGAGTTTGTGAGCCAGAGCCCTCTGAGCTGCAACCTTTCTTCTTGCCCCCACCCGCACCCATTCAAGACCACTCACATAAAAAGGCCTTTTTACGCTTCAAGCCCTCCCGTTTGGATCCCTCGTTGGCTCCAGGCTGGAGTGCCAGCTGCTTCACCTTGGCACGCCGCCCTGTGCAAGCTGCTTCGCCAAAGCCCGCGGCCCCCGCAGCGCGGCGTGGTGCTGCAGCAGAACATTCCCCGCACTCGTGCTCGTGAGGCTGGCGTGCTTCCTCCCGCAGAGGAAGGGCAGGCAGGGTTGAGACCTTAATTTTCCTTCTCATCTCGTCTCTCTCGGGGTCACTGAGGTTAGCAGCTCAGGATTTGCCGAGATGACTCCTACCCTCCTTTGCTCCAGATGTGCTGAGCAGCTGTGGCTCAGAAGGGGGGGGCAGAGGTGGAATGCGTGCTCTTCATCTCTGGAAAATCCAGGGAGATCCCAAATTACACACCCCGAATGAATGGCTGCTTTGGAAAAGTCTCCGTGCATCAGTTTCCCCTTTGCCAACGTTTTTCCCATTACCCTGGGACGCAGTCAAGCACCACCCCAAGCTGCAGAGGCGGGCAGTGCGCTGGTTTCTTGCCAGCTGAAGCAATAAATGAGCAATATTCTGAGTCGACTGCACCATTGGGCAGTTCCTACAGGAAAGGGAAGTGGTTGAAGCAAATGCAAGTGGTCATCACAGCTGCATCCGTGTTTTTATTCTGACTGTGTGACCTCAGGATTCGTTTTTTCTGAAGGTCTTGTATCTCTTCAGCCCCTTGTGAAAGATCTCCAAACACCCAGCAAATACTGTCCGTGGCAGGACGGTTCAGAGTTGGTCAGCACTGTGGGAGCAGCCCAGTACAATTTTGGAAATGGTGTTGGTTGACGTGATCTCATCTGAGGAAAGATGAGAACTGCGGCTGAGTCGTTCCTAACAAAAAGGCTGATTTCCCTTCATGGCTCTCCTGCAGCGTTTCCCACCGATGGCGCCGGATCTGTGAGCTTCCCCCCACAGATACCTGTGTGCTCTGCAGCGTGAGGATTGGGAACGTTCTCCTCTCCCCTTTCAGTGGCTCAGCTCTGAGCAAAGCGTTTTCTCTCTGCAGGGCTCTGCCCTTCAACGCAAACCTTTGCAAGCGAGCAGCCAGCTGACCTTTGCCATGTGCTGGAGAAAAGAATCCCTGCAGGAAACATCCCCATGGAAAATCTTTAAACAGAGCAAAAAATAGGCTGTTGTATTCTGCTCATTAGCTGTTAGACAGACAAACAGGCTCTTCAGAGGAAGCCAGGGAGAATAACAGGAAGGCAGTGTTCAGGGGAGCAGCGTCCCCTCGGCCGGGGCTGACAGCTGTGCGGGGATCTGGGGCAGGATTAGCCGTGGGTTTCAGCTGCTGTCCACCAGCAGATGAACGGGGGTGCACGCAGAGAGCAGCGGGGTTGTCCCCTTGCCACAGCTGTGCCCACCCTGCAGAGGAATCCCAGCTCCCTGCCAGCAATGGGGAAGGGGGGTGTTGTCCAACTGCACGGCTTTGGTCTTGTTACTGGCTCCTGAAAGTTCTTCTCCCTGCTGCTGTTTTAGGATATTAAAAATACAGGTTGCTTACAAACTGCTCAAGTCCTCTCTGCTGCTTTTAGCCTCTGATGTGCCAAGAGAGGAGTGGCTGCCTTGCTTGTCCCCTCCGAAACACGTCTGGGCTCTCTGACACCTTGCGTTACCTGTGGCAGTCCCCTGGGAGCAGGTCCCTGCGTCCACCTCTAAATGTAGTGCATTGCTCACCAGCTCGCTTCCAGCCCGGTCTCATTCAAAGAGGGATGTTACCCAGAGGGTACCAGAGCACTGGCCCAGGCTGCCCAGAGAGGTTGTGGAGTCTCCTTCTCTGCAGACATTCAAAACCCGCCTGGACGCCTTCCTGTGCAACCTCATCTGGGTGTTCCTGCTCCGGCAGGGGGATTGGACTGGATGAGCTTTGGAGGTCCCTTCCAATCCCTAACGGTCTGGGATTCTGTGATCCCCAGTCTACCTGGGGCCATCCCTGATGCTTCCCACTGGTTGATTTCCTACAGGGGAGGTTGCTGCGTTTCACTGCCTTGCTGGTAGCTTTTTAGGTGTGCTGGTGAGATGTTGTGTGTTGGATGGTGTCACTGGAGAGTCCCATTCTCCAGAAAACAGGGGATTTGGTGCTGCTCTGGCACTGAAGGTGCTGAACCTTTCCTGGCTGCTCATCCCCTGCATGGGCTGAGGAGAGCCATTCCCATCCCCGCCGCTTGCAGCTCCCCACAGAAACAGATCCTGCCATTCCTTGGTCTGGCACGCTCTGCCTTTGGGAGAGCCTCAGTCTTCGTCAGCTCTGGAGCTCAGGTCTCTCTCTCCTGATTTTCCCTGTCTTCTTCTTCCTTTGGGTGTGCTTGCTGGGTGCCAAGCTGGCTTAGATTGCCTGCATCCCGCAGAGCCACCAGCGCTATCCTGGGGCAGTTGTCCGCAGGCTGTAGGTGCGGGTACTGATTTAAGCCGTGGTCCTGGAGCTCAGGGTCACAACTCTGACCTCGTAGCAGCCTTTATTTTACTTTTTCCCTCCTGGTGCTGTTCTGTGAGCTCCTCCCGTGTCGTAAGGTCTCGCTGCACCCCTGCTCACCCCCACTGCCTCCTCGCCCTGCGGCGTTTCCTGCTCCTCTTTCTCACCGCGGAGCGCTGAGGATTTTCCCAGCAGTTCTGACCCTGCTGTAGGAACCTGTTTTTGCAGAGGCTGCAGAGCTCCTGTGCTGTCAGGTGGCTTCTCTCCCTCCCTCTCTCCTTCTCGTTAGGCTTTTTCCTTTGTAAAGAAAGGAATAAAGGGTCCAGGAGTGAAGTCACCCCAAGAGCCAGGTTTCCAGAGGTGTCAGGCTCCTGCTGCTGCTGGCGAGTGGCTGCTCTCATTTCTCTCCGTGTCTGATCAGCTGCTCTCACCACTCTCCAGATCACTTCGCTGTCTTCTCCTTTCCAGTTCTGCTGCATCTCCCAGCAGTCGGGAGCCTGGAGAAGCTGCCCCTGGCTGTCCCCTCCCCAAAGTCCTCGGCCTTGCCCTTGTGGGACTTCACCCAAAACTGCCCCTACCGACCCCTGTGCAGCAGAGTGGGCGTTCAGCCCCTTGAGCACTTCTGCGAAGCACTTCCCGATGGTGCTGTGTCTCTATAGTTACTGTGTTGTCAAGGCTGTGGGAGTTGGGGTTTTTTTTAACCAGATCTGTGTCTCAGCTTGATTTTTAATTTTTTTTTTTAACGGCGGGGAGGCGTATGCGATCGCTGTGCCTGTGTGCTCGGGTGTGTCTGTCTCCGCATCCTCTCTCCTTCCCTCTTTTCCCACCCTTCCTCCCAGCAGCTTTTGAACCCGCTGCCAGCCCACGGGCAGATTTGGCAGCGGGACGGGGATCTCGGGGGGTATTGCGTTCCTCTAATTTTCATAAGCAAACCCAGCCCTGGTGGGAAGAGAAGGTCTGTGAGGTGAGGAAGGGTAACCCAATGTCGACCCCACGGATCTGTGCAGAGACAAGCTCCTGAGACCAAGTCCCCTTTGGTTCTCTGCTCTCAAAATGATTTGATTTCCCCCTCTCCCCGTGCAGGGACTATGCGCGCCGTCCACAGGCACCTCTTCCCCGGGGACTCTGCTGCCGGCCAGGGCATCGTCTGGGAGTGGCAGAACGATGACGGCGCCTGGTCCCCGTACGAGATGAGCGTCTGCGTGTTCCTGGAGCAGGCCCGTGCCACCAACCACCAGCGAGTGGATCTGGGGCCCTTAGGCTACAACTACGAAGTGGACTTTGTGGCGCAGGCCCAGACCAACAAGACCACGCGGTTCCGCCGCAGCGTTCAACGACGCTTGGATGCCCCGTACCCAGTGACGGCCTCCCCAGCGACCCTCCACGCGGGAGCGGCCTGCTCCTGCCAGCAGTGCTGGCTGAACGGGGGCACCGGGCCCATCACCACGCGCTACCGGCACTCCATGATCAACTTCCCAAACTCCTCCGCTGCTCACCAGGTTCCCAGCAGGACGGCCTCAGTGAGTTCTTCCAGCGTCGGCTTCGTGCCCTATAACAAACCGGCTTTGTCTGGAGCGCGGTCGACGCCGAGACTCAATGCACAGAGCACCTGGGCTTTGCCTCAGTCCAGGGCCCCCAGCGCGGGACTGCCTGCGTCTAATGGAGTCAGGTACAGACCAACATTCACCTTTAAATGCTGTGCGTGCATCCCAGAGACCTGCTGGGCTCAGGTCTTTGTTATTTAGGAGCCTCTCTGTCCCCGAGGACTTTACAGGGGTCCATGTGTGTGCCTTTGTGTCCAGTACAGTGGGTGAGAAGGCTTCTCCTCTGCTCTTCCCTTCTTTTCTCCCACTGGGAACCCTGTCTCCCAGTCTCCCTGAACCACTGGAGCGGGCAGTCAGGTGGAGACACTGCAGGTTTGGGGAAATTAAAGGTGGCGTTGCTGGTTACACTTAAAAACAACTTTGGGAGGGACTGAGTGAATGAAAAGGGGACTTGTGACCGCCCTTATTAAATTTAAAATACGCAGTAAACACAGAGGGCAAAACTGCTGTGTTCTGAGGCCTTCCCCTTTGAGGAGGGACCTCAGGACTCGCTGTGTGGCTGAGACCTTGTGAGTTCTCTGACAAAATCTGGAAGTCCAGGCATTTTTAAGGTGAACAGCAAGAAGAAAAACAACACCAAGACACAGATTTAATCAAGGATTTTTTTTTTCAATCCATTCGGAAGATGCTTAGAAAACCAAATCAGTGATTTACTTTTCCCTTCCTTTGATAACACGAACCGTACTGATCCCTCTCTGAGATCAGTGGGGGACACCTGCAATTTGGGTGGTGTCTGGGCTACTGGTCAGACTGATGCAGAGCAGAGATGGCCCTGGGTAACCACACAAGAGGTTCATTTGGCACGTGTGGAGGTGTCGTGGGGCTGCACTTGCGATGCTGCAGGGCTGGAAGCACAAGCAGGGCTGTGGGTGATGGAAAATCCAGCCAGGTCGCTGCTAATTGGCACTTGGGGTCTTACCTGTGCGCAAGGCTGTGTTAGGGGAGGTCTGTGTGGCCTGGCTGGTGATAACACATGCACCGAGTGTCTCCCACCGTTAAACTGAGGACCAAGGAAGGGCTCTGTCTGCTCCCTCCCTTCGTGAACTGCTGGAAGTGCAGTGCACGCGTTTCACTGTAAATAATCCGGGTGCTGAACCCCCGCCATGAGCACTTGAGAAACCGCAGGGGAACTCGCCAGGGCTGATTTACCTGTCCAAGCTACCCCGAGTAAATGGAGGGTAAATTCTGCTCGTTACATGAGGCACAGGGGTTTGAGGTTTATTTTGAATCTCATTTGTATTTTAAGCAAGACGGCAAATCTTCAGGTATTTCCCTTAGCGTCGTAGCAGGACTTTCCCTCGACAGGGTCATCTGAGTGAAATGACTTCCCACATCTGGTTCTTCTTTCTCACGCTCTTTTGCTGGTGCTTTCTTTGTCCCTGGTGATATTTTTTTGTGTCGGTTTAAGCATCCACACCACTTCTCTGCTCCAGTCGCCTTTGAACAGAGCTGAGAACCAGAGCTCGGTGCTGCCTGCAAGAGCCCCAAGTGAGGCTTTTGCAGTCTCCTGGAGAAGCTCCCAAATTTCCCCTCTCGCTGGAGCCGCCGGTTGGTGCGTGGGGCGGCCCGGCGCCTGCGTACATC